ATTGAAAAAATTTCTGTCGACACGCAGCAAATGGCCCTTTGCTTTGTCGAATGCTCTCCTCCTGGAAAGTTGTGCCCACTAACTCCATGACTGGTACTAAAAATTGCCCCCATTCACTTGTAGGTGGACCCACATGCAGGAACCCACTTTTAAACTGGTAGACATTCCTTCAGACTTGGCTACGGTGTCCTCCAATTAAGTGGACCATCTGGGAAGTGATTGACCCTCTTCCAATTCACCACTGCCACCACCCCCACCACACCAAGTGGGGGCGTGGTGATTGGAGAAAAAGGAGAAAAAAAAAAAACTAGCCAATCAGAGAGGAGGAGGGGGGGAACCCTTTTCCCTTTTTTTTTTCTCGGATTCGGAGCGCCCTTCATGGATGTCACGATTGGCCAAATAAAGTCTCCGGATTTGGAGCCCCATCGGTGCATGACACCTTTGGGCCGATTAAGCCTTCGGATTTGGAGCGCGCTTCGTGGATGTCACGATTGGCCATATTAAGTCTCCAAATTCAAAGCCCGATCGGTGCATGACACCTTTGGACTGATTAAGCCTCCGGATTTGGAACGCCCTTCGTGGATTCGGAGGCAGAGCCGTACGTAACACGTTTGAGCCGAATAAGACTCCGGATTCGGAGCGCCCTCCATGAAGAAGGTTAAAGCATACAAATATTGAAAGTGATGCTTCGTTAAGCGGAGCTGGCAAAAGTCGTTTACACTTTAAAGCATACAGGTGAGGCACTCCGGCAAGTGATGACATCGGCTAAGGACAAAGCTTCGGCAACTAAGGTGACAATGACCTCGGCTAGGAAGGACAACACTTGACTAAGCTGTGCCACACCTTGGCCTAGATGTGCCACACCTCGGTCTAGGTCATACCACTCCAGGACAAGATCACTTGGGTGCAAAAGTAACATCTCGGCCTAGATAATACACATCTCGGCCTTGGTGATGAACACCTCGGCCTAGATAATGACATCTCGGCCAATATGTCAAGGCGAAGGGGGAGGTCAAACAAAGGGGTTCCAAGATACTTCTAGACTGAAGATGACCTCGGCTTGGAATGATCTAGGCGTAACGTAACCTAGGCTTGGCATGACTTCGGCTTAACATAACTTAGGTTTAACACCGCCTAGGCTTAACATGACCTAGGCTTGAGACAACAAGGGAGGAACAAAGCATACACACAACACTCAGACATAACACATAAACACAAGGCAGGACAAGATTCATGAATGCAACCTTAACAAGACAAGGTTATGTAAATGAACATGAACATGACTACAACATGAATATGGGTTGCTACAGCAATCTTAACATGGCAAAACATATAAATGCATGCAAACATGACTAAGCCATAAATGTGGGTTGTTACAGAGAACCCACTGTAGAACCAACTCCACCACCACCTCAAGCATCTCAACAAACTTCATTACAACCTCCTTCACAGTCTTCGCCACAGCAATCTACACAATCTGCATCGCAACATCCTTCACAGTTAGAACCTCCTCCTATTGTTGTCAGGGATGTCACAGTTGGGGCTCTCTCGATGGAGGTTGATTACCCAGGGGGCACTGAGCCTATTATTGTCCCTTCTGTCTTTAGCCCTCAACCATCACCATCTAACTCCTCAAATTTCCAAACTTCAAACAAAGAATCAGAGAGGATTGATTTTGACATTTCAATCAACATCCAATCCTCTCCAACAGATGACAATACAAAATCCCCTCAACCAGAAGTTCACAATAACCAAGGTAAATAGAAATACAAATGTGACTGTTCGTTTGAAAAAAAAAAATTCTCTTTAAGTAACTGCTCTTCTTCTCCAATTTACGGGGACGGACATAATACATGACTCATCTTCACAACCAATGTCTGAGAAAAAACTTGAAGGTCCTCATGACTTTTCCCTCTTACCAGAACCACAAAAATAGCCTGAAGGTGCTGATGCTGCCATTTCATCAGTACCCGAAACAACTTCTGCTACTATCACAACCACCGCCGAACAAGACCAACTATCTACGCGCAATTTATTAGGACAGGCACTACCATTTCCAACCTCATCATATTTACTCTTTATTATTTGCAGCATATATTCTCACAAAACTATTAATGTTCATAGGCCATCGTTCCATCTCAAGATATTTGGGCTGAACTTTCTATTTTTCAACAACATCTAGACGAAATATCCTCATTGGCTCAAAGGCTACATCTCTTTCGTGCTGAAACTCAACAAACCTTATCCACTTTCATCAACCTCATTAACACCCCAGTTGAAGAAATCATTCTCCACAAACCTGATGAAACCTTGGCCTGTCTTTTTACTGTTCTAAACCTCTCCCCTAATCCTTTCAACCCCATTCAACTAAAGCAATTGGCCAAGATCATCACGGATTGGCCAACCCTTTCACAGATGGTTCAGACTTACTCGAAGGATATTCAAACCAAAAAAGATTTCCTAAACGAAGCCCACACCATATCCACTTCACTCAAGCTCAGCCAGCAAACCTCTATAACCATTCTTGAGCAACATTCAACACTTGACCTTAAGGAAACCAAACTCATGGCATAACTTGCCTTTGTCCGGCAAAGAAAGGCTCATCTGCCGCAGCAACTTGACCAGCTTAATCAAGAAGCAAGGATGATACTCTCCTAAATTAGACATGGTCCTGCATCAATTCAGACAACTAACGCTAAGTTGGACCAAGCCCAAGCCATGCTGGCAGATACTCAATCAGAATGGGGTGTTCTAGCCATTTCCTTCCCCAAATCCTAGACTAGCTTGTATATATATATATATATATATATGTTTGTATTGCACAGAATGCGTGTTATCTTTCAAACCATTGTGTAGACTTGTTCATTAATGAATATCAATACTTTGTTTTTGAATGGTCTGTTGTATGGTTTGTGTATTTTGTTGTGCAATTTTTCTCTCTTTGTGCATTGTTATGAAGTAATCAACTCCCCTTCAAACTTTCCCACATGGTTGGATAATACTTCTTCACATATTTTCCATTTATATATCTTCTATGTGGTTGCCTTTCCAAGTATTGGTTTTTGTAAAGGATGTCATACTTCTTCACACCAGTATATCAGTCATGTACATAGGTTGAGTATTTTTATTTAGTATCAAAGTCTGCATGTTTAGTGTGTAAAGTCATTTAGCCAAAGATTTCTAAAAATATGTCATCTACAATACACAACTGGCGTAAAACACTTACTTACCAACCGATATACTAGAAAGAACCAGGCAGTATGCCTCCCGTCTTTGTTTACTTGCCGCTGTCCATTACTCAATTGAACCGCGACCAAGTTTATTGGCTGGAACATTTAATAGATGAGGAAACTTGAGAGTTGGAAGGAAGGTCGACAGGGTACATTTACTATTTGGCATAGTTGGAAGATTCAAAATCAGGGGGCAGTTACACTTTAATTATGGGATTGAAGTGTGGGATCATGCAATAATGGGCCACAAAAAGAGTATACGGATATCAAAACTGAAGATGTTGGCTGAAGATAGGACAACATCATGAGCAACACAAGTTAAGCAGTTTATAATTCTTGCATAATTTAGGTGTAGCTTTATCATTAAACGAACAGGTTCTTGTGAAAATCGTATCGTTTAAACCCACGATGTTCTTCTGTTTTGTATGGCAGATATTCAACTTGTATGTTCTGTCAATGTTTCATGGCATCAAACCATGTCCAAGCAAGATCCTTTTGTGGTTCTTTGAAGGCCAACTTGTTGAAGGGAAGCAAAATCAGTTCTCTTCTTATGTATCGGACCATTGAGGTTACCATTATCGTGAGCAGAGTCTTTCAAGTACCATCATTGGCGTGGCACACAATTCTATGGGCACCATTAAGTTCAACCTACTTTAAGCAGGTGCCCACTTTCGCACTCACAATCAACTAACGATATAAATATTGCACTCAATCAAACATATTTCAGTTTCGTGTTTTGTTTTCAAATCGGTTCCTAGTCGTACATGTATAGTCGTTCATGTACACGTACTGTACTATTAAAACAACATGTATCGTTGTTTCGTAATTGGATTATCCATGTAGTAGCTTGTACACGCAGTTCACCCGTGGCAGGACTTTCAGGTTCTCTCATCAGGTGCATGTTCTTTATTCGAATCAGTATCCAAGTTCTACTTGTCAGGCATTTCAATCAGTTTGAATCAGTTGGCTGGTAACTTTGGTTTAATTGTTTATTTCAAATTGTTGTCGATTTTCTGTCCATTCGTAATAAGCATGATTTATAGTCAGACTTGAGCATGAAATGTTATATTTCTTGTAAGTTGTAATACCAAACTCATGTATGTGCTTTAAGTTGGGGTTGATTAGGAATTGGTGTTATGTTATTGTTTGCAGTTAAAAATTTGTACTTGTTTGTGCCTGTCGACATGTGGATCAACCACAACATGACATGTGCCAAAGTCAATGTCAGAGTCCATCAGTTACACATATGAAAGAGGTTTAGTTTAACTGCACATGAGGGCCCACATGGTGCAGCAGTTACGAGGATATTGCATGGACTAATTGGGTGGATTGCAGAAATGGTCATTGGCAAAATACAGAGCTTGACCTATTGATGTGAAGCCCACAATGTGCAGGGACAGTTGGAAACATAATCCTAAGTTGGTTCAACAAGAGAATTACAGCAGTTTGTTGACCACATGAATTCCTATCGACAGGTGGACCCCTGTTAGTGCATTATAGTCACTGTTATTTGTTTGTTCTGTGGGATATTTTTTTGCTTTGTTTTGGACAAAATTATGGCATTCAAAAAAAGCGAACAAACATAATTCATGTGGTAAAAGCGAACAAACACTACTACTTTCAACTTGCATTGTTTGTTGGACAAATATCACATTGCATTGGACAAACATTACTATGTTCATTTGGACAAATATCACATTGCATTGTTTGTTCTATACCCATAATTCCATTGATCAATGGAGTTGCGACATCCAACTTATGCACAATTTCGTAAGTACGTACACGCTATGATAAAAAGTGAACAAATATTACTACTTTTCATCGTTTGTTCCAGTCCCAAACATCGGAATTATGTGTACAATCAATATGTGTGGAAAATTAGTATTATCACAGCTGTGACCTAAAAAGTTGTTACGACAAGCTAATGCAGTAATCCAGTTGTGGTTGGGCATCAAAATTACTCTCGTACTGGCAGGCCATGATAAAATCGCTGCCCTATTTGTTGTAATTGCAATCAATCACATGCACGAAAGATACTTGTCGACCTTTGAATTATTCACATCCATAACAAAGTCAAGTACTAACTTCCGACTCACAGAAGGATGAAACTATACAGAGAAAGAAAATAACACAAATCAGGTACAGTTACAGCGGTAGGAAATAAACGGATTTATTTCGCAATTGGAAATGAAGCGGTAGAATGTACCTTGTGTGGACCGCTGGGTATATCAGGCCTCTGCATGTACTTGATCACAAACATCCCACAGTAAAAAGTGCTACAAATGAAATGTAACATTAAGTTTCTTGTAAATATAAGTAGGTTCATTAAATAAGTCATTCAGGAGTGAAGTAAATGTGACGCAGGGTTTGTGGATTACTCATCCAGCTGTTGTAATGTCCTTTTTCTAACATGCGGACGTCAAAGGTATGCACATGTACAGCATATTCATTTCCAAATTGTAGTTGTAGTAAGACATGCATTGTTTAAACCTGTTGCAGAAGGAGACGGTTAGTTTATGTAAAGGATGTGACAATGTGGAAGTAGATTTGTGAAATTTAGCACGACATACCAACATTTTTGTCGCATTCAGCTTGTTGGTGTCCAGTGTGGCGGATGCCAATGAGTCAAATAGGTACGCCACATGGCCTACCATATCTATTTTTAAGCACAACCAATGTACTCCTCTATAATTGAAAGGCATGTAAATCTATACATAAACACAAGTAAAGACATTATTTAGAGGGCATGCGAACATGTACGCACTTTCATATTTACATTGACATTCATGTAAATGGGATCGACATTCATATTAAATCTACACGCTTCAATGGGATGGACATTCATATTACCTTCTGACATGCATCAAGCACACCAGTATATCTGTCATGTCCAAAATATGATTTGACGATATTTTCATGGTTCAGAGGTTGAGTTTTTGATTTAGTATCAAAGTCTACATGTTTGGTGTGTAAAGTTCAGTCAACCAAAGATTTCTGAAAATATGCCATCTATAATACACAACCGACCTAAAACACTTACTTACCGGTAGATATATTGGAAAGAACCACACAGTATGCCTTCCGTCTTTGTGTACTTGCCGCTGTCTGTTAGTCAATTGAACCGCGACCAAGTTGATTGGTTGGAACATTGTAACAGACGAGGCAACTTGCTAAATAAGGTTTGCAATTTGTTTAAATCTAATACGAAATAACAATGTCCCTACATGGAAACGTCCATCATTAAAATATAGTGGAAATAACATTGTCAGATGCCATAACTTACAGTGTCGGATAGCCATGCCCCTGGTTTAAGCGTGCGCATGTCACGTCGGGTAACACATTCGCAAAGCATTTCATGAAGATTCATAGACACGACAATGTCCCTACATTAAACGTATCCATGAACCAGTAAGAAGAAACCTACAGCCTAGGAAAACTTAAATATCTGGCTTAACTCTACAACATAAGACTAGTTTTTTCTATTGTAGAAGTAAGCCAGATATTCCTGATTCTACTACTCTCTAATCCAATTAA